AGCTTTTCGAGACGACTTTTATAGAGGGTCGCCTGCATGCTCGTAAGGAGTTGGTGTTTGGTCCCACGCAATTCAGTGAACCCGTCAGAAAGAGTATTGGATTTTACAATCATAACAATCAATCTCACAAATCTCCGTATCTTCTTCTGGATGTCACTTTCTGATGGAAACGTTGGAGCTAGCCTCACGCAAGAACGCTTATATCCGTATCTCGTCAATCAGCTTTCGTTCTTCCGCACGTCGCTTTCTGCTAAGTTCGTCGTCGGATGATGACATTGTTCTAAAATGGTCTATACTAAGTAATGGAAAATACTGCACTACTTAATATTCTATTTGCATGCATGAACTCAGAGAATTTTTTCGGCTGTCTTCTTGTCTTTCCGAAAACAACGAAAGCGAAATGCTCCTAGAGTATGCTTTAAAGTCCAAAGTAAAATGCGCAGAAGCCGTATGCTCAAAAATTTGATTGAGTTGCTTATACGTCTCATGCACCATGCGATCAGTTTGCAACATGCTGACGAGAGATAGAAATAGCTTAGGAAAAGAGCTCCTGCGACAGCAGCAATGGTTAGCACTAAACACTTGTACCACCGAAGGTAAATGTCCAGTATGTGGCCGACATCTGGCCAAGAGATTTGAGAGAAGATGGAGCCATATGTCTTGTTATGACTTTGCTGAATATACTGCTTGACTCCTCCCTGAAGGTTATGCACATACTTCAGTATGCCAGTGAGCTCAAAGTGGTTTGATTTGCGCCCGCATCGTACCGAACACTGAACATGCACTCGCGCTGACTCGAAAAGAAAGTCTAGCTGGGAGTTCGTGCCTGTGACAGAACAGGGGACGGTGAAGCTGTCTTTACCACACTCGACTTCGGCTGAAGTGTTGCTCAAGGTAGATTTGCACGTTACTATGGCTTGTGCTCCTCTGCTGCATTGATAACATCCTGTGAGGTGAGTGTTCTCAATACTGCAGCTATCTTCCTTGATTTCAGTGATTAAGTCGGTGACGGCTTCCTTCATATTTAAAATAATTTCCGCAGAGATGTCGTGATCCAATTTCGCCATGACGCTATGATATGGATGCTCTGACAAATGCACTTGTTGACGAATGAGTGGTAGTACATTTTCTATGCTCATGAAGGTTTCCTCGATGTCGTCTTCTTCACATCTACACATGATCTGAGATTCGGCTGGTGTACATTCGCAGATAGGGTGTAGAGTGCACTGTAACGACAAGGCATGCTCATGCGATGGGCAGCGGAGGAGCGGGCTCTTTTCTCTGTTCCAAATGGCGACGTGGTGCTTCGATCTGACAAATTTTTGCTCGAGAACTGGAAGTGGTGGAACTGAAAGTACACTCAGTGTCACTTCAAAATTCTGAACACGTATAGGAACGTTTGGACGGAGACCAAGCACGTAAGACTTTAGTAAGGCTCCCTCGCTAAACTGAAGGCGAAGTTTCACCTCCTCCTCCCATCGGGCGCATTTGAAAAGTTCATAAACGGTATCGTCTTTTGGTACACCATATATCCTGTAAAATAGGCAACCTGAATCCCAGTGGAAGCAGCCACATCCTGGTCCACCACAGGATTCTACGCAACTGGTTATTCCAGGAAATGAGTTGCCAATCATTAACTCAGGCAGCAGGCTCGTTTCATTTATGTCTGCACACTTGTTACCAATGCACGAGCCCATGGATGAGCATCTTTTACTGTCGACAACTTTCTGAAGCACATTCCTAGTATGGAGTAAGGACTTCTCGGTTGCACAGCAATCTAAGTCCTTCAAAACGGAGTCTTGCCTTCATCGCTGTGGAACCGTTTTTCCGAAATGCTAAACATGCTTCTTTTTTGAAAGGGTTTATCTTTACTACGGATGCGACTTCGACAGTACAGATGCTTTTATTTCCAGAGGATCGACAGCTTTTCAGTTGGTGGGGGAATATGTTCACCTCCTGACATGTCAGAACTACTGAGAATAATGTGAAAATAGCCAGTGCTTGCATAATTCTCGACGGGCGTTGTCGCGTCTCATTTCGGAAAACCCTTCCTAGGCTACTTATAGCTAGAACCAGTAATTGTAGCATAAGATGTACTGCTCTACGAATACCTTGCAGCACAATGCGGCACGGTCGGCCGATGGTGAACTGGTACATAGCATAAGGTATAGAAGATGGCGATCACAAGGTATAATATTAGTCCTAGGCCTGCCATGGCTGCAAGTGGCCAGCACTCTGGATTCAGTATATTAGCAGCACATATCGTACAATCGATTGCGGAGCAGAACGGTTGTGCGGGGCATTTTGTTTCCACCACCGTATAAGAATCTCCCCTACGTAGTTTCCAACGTGCTTCAAAGTCCTGGAGTAATTCTTCTGGTGGTAAATGCAAGTTTTTATGAACT